GGATAACAGCAGACTGACTGCTGGTAAAATATACGACAGGTCTGGACCACTCATAAATTTTGTTCGTATCTGAAGAAAATCTTAGAATATGAAAACATTGGTGAATGCTACAAATTCTCTTAAATCACTCGTACGCACAACTTAAGAACAAATCTGTGCGTACGAACGGTTCTTGCATGAGGCCCAATGTGTGGTGAATTTCATGTACTGTCTCTTTAAGAACTGTGAACGCGCGTCCAAGCGGGTGCGCGCCCTTTGTTCAGTCCGATTTTCCATCTCACTGTGATTACATGTTCCCAACAGTCTCGCTAAATAAACCTTGTCCAGAGCTGAAGAAATATCGCCTTTTCTTCATTCAAGTGTTTGCCAAAGAGGTTTTTAACATCCAGCAGCTTTCAGGCAAGACGCTCACCTATTTTCCAGCAACCCAGGAGAGCAGCGGGCAGACGTGAAGAGACGAGAGGGGAACATCCAGACCGACAGCCGAACGTGAACCGAGAAGAACACGACATAATGGCGTCACGATCCAGGCCTGGACAGTCTTAAAAGGTTAATATTGAACTAACGGGGGTAATATTGGCCATATTTACTTATGTTTCTTTGATTTTTAAGCCTCAGACTCAGGGCGGTTCAGTGAGGTTTGTCGGTGGATCACATCGATGGGCTCCGTGCAATGTCTGGTGTTCTGTCGTTGTTTTGTTTTTGTGTGTTCAAACCTTGCTAATTTATTCGTTTTTTTATGACGTGTCGCCCGCCGCAGAGGGTTAAGTGTGTGTATCCTCTGGCGGTTTATGAGTTAAAGTACGCGTACTTTTGAAGAAAAAGTGTTTGAGATGCATCTCTAAGTGTTGTGTTAGCTGCACATCCGTGGTTAAATGGAAGGGTCGACAGAGAGACGTCTTTTGTCATCCTGTTAGCTACTGGTAGGGCGCGGTTGTGCGGGGCCGTTCAGCCTGGTTCTTTTGTTATCTTGCCCGGATAAGAGTACCCGGTTACAGTGTCTTCTGAGGCCTAAAGAGCTGTTTAATTCCGATGAAACAGACCGGGGAGGTAATAAAAAATTGGGTGTTGGAAGCTCCGTCTAAAACTGGAAATTAAAGGGTACATGTCAAGTTTTTTTTGTTGTTTTTTTAAAGTTCTGTTCAAGCAAGGGAATACAGGCCTGTGTGTTTGTCTGTCTTAAATGGCTGTTTGATGTTTGTTGTGGCGTTTTGTTGTTTTTTCTGTTATTATTTGTGTATTGACTTGGCTCGGTTTGGGCTGAAAACCAAATGGTGGGGGTGCTTCAAAGTTTTTTTTCTTTCTTGCTGCAGCTTCTTTGTCCTGTCTAAAGTGATTTATGGCAGTGCAGCCAGGAGTGGGGGTTTCAAATAAATATATCAAAGCCCCTCAGTTGAAAACACTAAAATGATAAACTTATTAACATAAAGCTGCTCTTTTTCCATTTTGAACCCTTTGCACAAGTCCTTTTGTTCAGATGAGCTCAGATTGTACAGATTTAAATACAAGAGTGAA